ACCCCGCTGGCTGACGCTGCTGTTCCTCTTTGTCTCCCCAGCACACGTTTTGCAGAAGATGTGCCTTAACATCTGGTGAGTACAGCACTGTTCTGGTGTGATACCCTCCAAAACACTCTTATTTGTGTGTTCCTTTGCTTTCCCTTAAAAAGAAACCCGCAGAGAGGTGTCTGAACATCCTAAAACAAGCCATATGTCCCAGGCTCCCACTGCAGTAATGAGGGTCTGGGGCTTGGGCAGGTGCCTGAGCTCTAATGCGGTGCAAACAGAGCTGAATCCAGAAGGAAGGTTTTCTGCGGCTACCTGGGCAGGGAGCAGGGCCTGCGTTTGGCAGAGACCCCTTGAACTGCTCCTCTGCCATCCCTGCAGTGCCAGCTCTCCAGCACCGATGGATTCAACGTGAAGCAGCTCACAGGGCAGGTTTAGCTCACCCAGCGCTTCCAGAAATCTGGTGGAGCCCAAGTGTCTGCCTGCTGGCCTGGCGGGACCAGCTCCGCTTTGGGTTGCACTCTGTGCTACGAAAATGCTTTATTGGGCACAAGAATCTTGGGCCTTTGTCCCTCTTGAAAAGCCCTTGGGGAGCATAAAGACAAGAGTTGATATTAGCAGAGCAGCCAGCCCTGAGGAAGCTCCCTGAGCACTCAGGCAAAACAGCAGCTCTCCCTTCTCGAGGTGTTTGTCTTTCACATGTGAAGGGTCCCTCCGCCTTGCGTGCTGACTTCTGTCCCCATGTCGTTCTGCATCAATCCCAGCCGAGGGGTTTGTAGCAGAAGGCTTTGGAGGTGCAATCCTGATTGCTCAGTTTTATTCCTGCCTTCCAAGCTCGTGTCCTTGCTCCTGGCCGCGCTGAAGGATCCCTGTCTGGCAGTGCTCAGTGGGCACTGGTGGAGCTGAGTCCAGGGCTTGGATGGGGGAAGAGGTTATGGGGCATCAGCTGATTTGTGGCCACTGCTTGTGAAGACTCTTGTGCTTTGGCAAGCACAAGGTAGTCTGAATTGGTGTGCCCTCTTTCATTGAGAATTAGCTTGAATTATCCTGGGTTAACATAAGCTACAACCTGTCTACGTGCCCCAACACAAACCACAGCCTCCGGCCCGTGTGTGAATATTCATGCCTTGTCTCGCTGTGACCAGTAGAGAATTAGCCATCTTTGCCAGAGAAATCAAAAAAGAAATATATCTCTGCACAGAGACTTTTAGAAAGCTCCTGCAGTGTCTCAGCCCTCGCTGACTCCCTCCCCTTTTCCTTGTGCTCCCTCCTGCCAGAGAAGTGCCCCGTGGACAACGCCAAACTGACCGTGGTGGTGAACAACATCGCGGTGGCCGAGCAGATCGGGGAGCTGTTCATTCACTGCAAATACGGCTGCCGGGCTCCAGCCAGCAGCAAGCCCGCGGCCTTCGAGGTGGACCCCCGCGGGTGCCCCTTCACCATTAAACTGAGTGCCAGGAAGTAAGTGGCTTGTGAGCAGCAGGCAGCCTCCCCGGGAAAGGGGCTGCGCTCCGGCAGCGTGTCCTCGTGGCGGTGCTGCCTTGTGGCTCCTGGGGACGGTGCAGCAGTGCTGGGAACAGGCAGGGTGGCTCGAGCGGGCAGTTCTTTCCACTCGGCGCGGTGTGCAGGTCTCAGGACCCCCTGCCTCTGGGGTGAAACACTGTGGCCTTTGGCAAGCAGGGACCTGGTGATCCTTTTTGTGAGAAAAGTGCCACATGCTCTAGGTGACCTTGTATGTGCAGGGGGGTTGTTGGACTAGATGATCTCTAGAGGTCCCTTCCAACCCTAAGCATTCTATGATTCTATGATTCTATGAAAAGTGCCACGTGCTCTAGGTGACCCTGTATGTGCAGGGGGGTTGCACTAGCTGATCTCTAAAGGATTTCATGACTCTTAACAGTGAGGAAAAGAGTTATCCAGTTGTGTCCTGGGCATAAAATCCTCCCTCTCCATCCTACCTGCGTTTGCTCTCTTACCTGTTGCCCACAGCCGTTGCCTGTTGGTGAGAGCTGTCCAGAGGCTCAGTGAGCAGCGGCAGAAGTAGATGCTCCCTCCATAAACGTGGCCTGTTATTACTCTCTACCTTGTGGCCAAATGAGAACTTAAAGTTGTAATTGTGCCCTTAGAGCAGAAGGGTTTTTATTGCCTGACAGTCTCACGGGGCTGGTTTGACCCTCTCCTAATGATCTGTGTCGTTCCCAATAATTTTTGCTTGCTGCTGATTTTCCCTCCTTTTGCCTTCCTCCATGTACAGAGATCATGAAAGCAGCTGTGATTACAGGCCAGTTCGCTGCCCCAATAACCCCAGCTGCCCACCTCTCCTCAAAATGAACCTGGAGGCCCATCTCAAAGAGTGTGAGCACATAAAATGTCCCCACTCCAAATACGGGTAAGGAACAGGTGTTTTATAGTGGGAAGGATGCAATGAGCTGGTTTTTGGGTACTATGGCTTTGGGATAGCCGCACACGTTAAGAGCTCTACCCAGTGCTGTGTACTCAACTGAGACTGAAATCAGGTTTGCAGGGAGCTTTGTGTTGAGGACGGGCAGGTCACAGTGCCCTGCTGTGGAGCCTGCTGGCAGCAGCTGCAGGGGGTGACGGGTCTAGGCAGAAGAAGCAGCTGGAGGGGAAATGGATCGTTGGAAAGATGTGGCAGAAGCCACACGGAGAGGAGGATGAGTACACGAGCAATGCAAACACTGTCTTTCAGCTCAGCCCCTCTTCCTGGAAGTGCTGCTCAGCCCTAGAGGGTTGATTGCCACCCAGGCAGAAGTGCAGCCCAGGGGGTTCCCTGCATGGTGCACGGCTGAGGTGGCTGGCAGGAAGAGGTGCAGAGCAAGACATGCCCTGATGGAGCAGCCTTGACTCCTTGCCATGCTGCTGGCCCAAGCAGCTGCAGTTTGTTGGTGGTTTTGACAGCTCTTGGGTGGGACTCCCAGTAAGCACATGGGGTGACGTGATTTTTTGACTCTTGCCCAAGATCCATACAACTTCCTAGACAGATGGACAGACAGTTTAGCTTAGGGCAAGCACCCCAGCTAGAAGAAGGGCACTGCTTGGCCCCTCTCTGTTCCCTGCAGTTACCTGCACCAGCAGGGCAGTGACCACAGTGCCGTTGCTCCCCCTGAGAAGAGTGGGAGAGCTGGGGATCTGTGCAGGCATCAGCCCTCTCTCCGAAGTGAGCCGAGCGCTGAGCTCTCGCGGGATGAGCCCTGCTCCAGCCAGTGTTGCCTCCCCTCCTTGCAGGTGTACGTTCATAGGAAATCAGGACACCTACGAGACCCACTTGGAGACTTGCAAGTTCGAGGGTCTCAAGGAGTTCCTGCAGCAGACAGACGACCGCTTCCATGAGATGCAGGTGGCAATGGCCCAGAAGGACCAGGAAATTGCCTTCCTGCGCTCCATGCTGGGCAAGCTCTCAGAGAAGATTGACCAGCTGGAGAAAAACCTGGAGCTCAAATTTGGTGAGTCTGCCCTGGGGAGCCCTGTGCTCAGCGCTGTAGGGACAGGGCAGCTCTGCGATAGGATTGCTCCTGTCAGGTCTCCCCGCTGGACCCTGCGGTGAACACGGGCTGTCCATCTCTCGTAGATGTGCTGGATGAGAACCAGAGCAAGCTGAGCGAGGACCTCATGGAGTTCCGCAGGGACGCCTCCATGCTCAACGTGAGGAGGGGACACGGGGTTGCTGCTGCTCGCGGGGCGTCCCCTGCGGCGGGGAGGGCTGCGGGGTGCCCCTCGTGCAGGCGCTGCTCGTCAGGGCTGGCTGCCTCCTGCTCTAGCTGGGCTCGGTGTGGAGCTGCCCTGTGGGCTGAGCTGGTGGAGCTCCACAAGGCAGCTCAGCAAGCGCGTCCTGGGCACTAGCTTAGCTGCTTCAGCTGCCTTTCCTCAGCCTGGTGCTGCTCCTGGGAGCAGCAGAACCAGAGCAAAGAGCATCTGCTGTAAAGAGAGAGGCCTCTGCTCCAAGGCTTGGGCATTTCTCATCTGAGCTCTGAACACAGTGTTCTTCTCTCTGCCTGTGGGGAAAGCAGGAAGATGAACTAACAAGCTTGGAGTGAGAGATGTCTCCTGATTTTGGACATTGTTCCACACTGATGCTGGATAGGTGTTCCTCTCTGATCCAGGTGGACTGCACCCCTCTAGATGTACCCCTGAGGAGGGACTGGCCTTGGCTTACCTAGGCACACTAATGAGAAGGGAACTGTGAAAAGACCTTCCAGTTCCTCTCTAGAAGGGTGGACTCCGAGAACCCAACTCAGCAAGCAGCCCCCAAACTGATGTGATTATTTTTAGTGGTCCTGTGAATGGCAGAGCAAGGGCAATATTTTCTGAAAGGTTTTTCTGGGCCTACCTAGCTGAAGGGATTAGTCAGGATGTGAGATGTGGGGATGAGCACATGCATCCTGGGGCAGGAGACCTCCCTGTCCTGTTGTGTCCGAGGAATCAGCTGCTAAGGGAGGGTCTTCAACAGGGAGCCAAAGGCACCCGGGGGTTCAGTGTGGAGGGGGCAGTGTGGAAGTCGTTTTCAGGAGGACAGGCCAGTCCTGACAGCTCTGTGGCTCACACCGCTTGTTCTGTCTTCCAGGATGAACTTTCTCATATTAACGCTCGGCTCAACATGGGCATCCTAGGATGTGAGTATGCACGTGGTTTCCATTTCCTTGGACTTGTTTTGGGGTGTTGCCCTAGTGAACATGGTATTCCCAGTGAAGCTCAGTCATGGACTGTGCAAAGTGCCAGTTGTCTCTGGGTGCATCAGTGACTTGTCTGTAGAGTCACCACTGCTGCAGGGAGGAAATGCTGGTGGGAGGCGTTTGGCCAGAAGCAGTGGATGAGGAGGAGGAGACGTGCAGGGAAGTGGAGGGTTCTGCATCTCCACCCTCCCTAGGTCCAGCCTGGCCGGGCCTTTAGATCCTGGGGCTCAAAGCGGTGATAAATGGGTGGGCTGTGCGGGTGGGACGTGTGGCCAGACAAGACGGGTCTCGTGGTTCCTCCTGGCCTAGCACAGTACGGGGACCGAGGTGGCCCTGCCAGGACAGAGCTGGGACACCTCTGCCCTCTGAACGCGCAGCTCCTGGCTCCTTCTCCCGCTCTTACCTGTCCTCTCATATCCTCAGCCTACGACCCTCAGCAGATCTTCAAGTGCAAGGGCACCTTCGTGGGGCACCAGGGCCCTGTGTGGTGTTTGTGCGTTTACTCCATAGGAGACTTGCTCTTCAGCGGCTCTTCAGACAAAACCATTAAGGTAAGAATTTCACCCCTGCCATGGGTCTTTTGCAATTGTAAAAGTGCTCCAGGTAGGACAGGCGCTTTCCAGTTCCAGGACATTTCACTTCCCAAAGTTTCTCCTGTAATTTTAAATGAGGTTTTGCAATTATCGTTGGGCAAAAAACAAGTATTTTTCAGTTTCTCTGTGAAGAAATATTATCTGATAATGATACCAGGAGACCAGCAGTGGCTTTTGTGAAGCTCTGATTAGAATCTCATTCATGCCTCTTGTTTTTGCTTTGCCTGGCGTCTAAAGCATTCAAGCCTATTTCAGCCTCTAATTTTTAAAAAGTTTCCTGTTATACAAAAATTTCTTAGAAAAAAAAATTCTTTTTTTTTTTTTCCTATTTTATGGCATGTTTGTTTTCCTTTGTCCTGTTTTCGGTAACTCAGACCAGCATCAGTGCAACCCAAATGGTAGATCCCGGTGTCACCGTGTGGGTGCTGGTGCCAGTGGTGGCTGCTGGCTGAGCTGGGGGGCTGCAGCCCCAGCCATGCAGGACCATTGCAGCTAGCCCTGCCAGCAGCAGAGCTTGGGTTTATTTATTTAGTTAGATTTTATGTTGAGAGAGAGAACCCAGAGACAAATGGAAGCAAATGGGCATGTATATTTTATTGAAAGAAAACAGCTTCCTCTGAGGTCCTGACTGCTCCGGACACCCTGCGCCCAGCCTCGCAAGCGCCACGTTTGCACGTTCTCTCTCCTGGGAGAGCCCTGGCTGCTCCATGGGGATGGATCCGCTCTACAGGAGCAGGGCAGACCGAGGCTGGGCCGGGGGAGCCCTGGGGACAGCGTGTGAATTGCTAAAGCCGGAGCTGCTGCTTCGGTTCAGTCCTGTTCCGAAGGCAGCGCTGGAGAGGGCTGCTGTGTGCTGCTCTTTGGTGTCACTCGTGGCTTCAGGCTGACCCTTTGCAGTAGATTTCCTTTCCTAGACACGCTTATCTGTGCCTGGGGGCAGGAAAGCAGGTGCCCGGCCGCGGGGCCGTTTCCTCGTCCCGTGCTTTTGCGGCTCTGCCGGCTTCCTGCGCGGCTCCGGCCGCTCGCTGGTGCAGCCGTGTGACCCCCGCACCGCTCACTGCTGTTTCCTGTTAGGTGTGGGACACCTGTACCACGTACAAGTGCCAAAAGACCTTGGAGGGCCACGATGGAATTGTACTGGCTCTCTGCATCCAGGGGTGAGTGGAGCCGGGCAGCTGCCCCTGCCCGAGAGAGGGGGCCACAAGCCGAGCCCTGGGGTCCCCAAATCCCCCCAGATCCCCTCCGCAGTTCGCATGCGCCAGCACTGCGTGTGCATTGGGATGGGGCGGAGGGGATGGGAGGCCGAGCTGCTCCCAAAATGCCTGACCCCAGGAACCCCTTCGTGAAACTCATTTGTAGCCCCAAAGTTGCCCTGGGCCCCCTGTTCTGCTCCCCCTGCTCATGGGGGCAGCTGCTGGCAGGGCCCCCCGGCCCCGCTGCGGCCGCGACTGCACCATTATTGTGAGTATCCTGCGTCCCGCTCAGCGCAGGGCTGGAGATGGGGGATTTGCAGCCAGCCCCCTGCAGAGTGGGGACCAGCGGCCTTTTTCTGAGCAGCTCTGCAGCAACTGGTGGAGTGGGAATGGTATCCCGTGCATGCTGTGTCCGTTGCCTGTGGCCAGGTTCCCCTGGCCTGGATTTGGGTGCTGGATTTCCTCCAGGGTCCTGCTTGGGAGTGGGTGCTGGGAGGTGGGGGCTGGCAAGGGTAACCAGCCCTAACCAGGCCGGGACAGCGGCTCCCTCCGTGTGCCCTGTCCCGCTCTGCCCTTCCTCTCATTCCTGCCTTTGGAAGCAAACAGGGAGGCGTCCACCGTGCGGGCCTGCTCCTGCCCCCGGCCTTCACGGACTCTTTTCTCCTCCTTTGCAGGTCTGGGATATTCAAAACCTGCAGAAAGTGAACACGATCCGAGCGCACGACAATCCCGTTTGCACTTTGGTCTCCTCGCACAACATGCTGTTCAGCGGCTCCCTCAAAGCCATCAAGGTAGAGCTGTGTGATGGCTCCTGCTGGCCTGCGTGTTGACTGATGGTTCCAGCTTTCAGGCAGTAGCTCCCAGACAGGAATAAAAAGGCATTTTGGTCTTAGGTGACCTTGTTGTTTCCCCGTGCTGAGCTCCACAGAGAAGCCAGCGCTGCAGAGATTTAGCCAGAGCTCAGTGCCGAAGGCAGAGATGTTCCGAACCTGGGTGAAAAGATTTGTTTCTTATAAATCCGTAAAGCTGAGAGCAAGTGGAGTGTGTTGGCACTCCCTGGGCTTGTGCTTCCTTGGGCTCTCGACTTGCTCAGGCCGCTGGGAATTGTTCCTGGGATCCAGAAGTGGCTGTGGTTTGCGAATCAGCTGCCTGATTTGAAAGCCTCTCCAAAGATCTTGAAGCTGCATCTTTTCCTAAAGCATGTGGAAATCAGGGAGCAGCTTTGCAAGTTGCCCTTTAAAGTCTTGGCCAGATTCCCTTGCTTCTGCTTCCAGCTCCTGGTGAGACAGCTTATGGGATTGTCCTTTTGGAAAAGGGCGCATGCTCTTTTCTTTATCCAAGGCCTGGAGTAGTTCAGCTGTTTAGAGGGTATTTGGGGCCTGGAAGAGCAATGAGACAGAACTGTACAGGGGGAGGTGGGGGCCTTTATTTTTTGTCTTCCCTAGTCTCTCTGTGCCTGCTGAGTGGTGCAGGGCCATGGCTCTGTTTGGAACAGCAGTATCAGACCCTTCAGGCTTGCCCTGGGCACATGCTTGTTCAGCACACGTTTTGGGGGGTTTGTGCAAGCCAGCGGGTTCAGCTGATCCCCACGGGGCTGGGCAGTCAGCGCTGGCTCTGCCGAGTGGGGTTTTGCTCCACGTGGAGGTGGGCAGCGGGCTGGCCCCTCTCTTGTCCAGGAGCCGACGTGCTGCCCCGGCGCTGCCCGGTCTGCGTGTGTGTGTTTGCGTGTGCTCACGTGTGTCTGCTTGTGCTTTCCACAGGTCTGGGATATTGTGGGTACTGAGCTCAAGCTGAAAAAGGAGCTGACGGGTCTCAATCACTGGGTGCGAGCGCTGGTGGCTTCTCAAAACTATCTCTACAGTGGATCCTACCAAACAATCAAGGTGAGACCCTCAGACTGGTGACAACTGAATGTGCTCCGTGGGCGCTGTAAAAGTCTCTGTCCTGCAGCGTGCTCTGGTTGTGCAGGACAGGAGACACGTCAGGGTTTGGTGACACACGGGGTGTCACCGAGGTGGCTGCATCTTTGCAGCTCGAGGGCTGGGCCCTGCGCACGGCTGCTGGGATGAACCAGCTCCCAGGACGGTGCCGCGCAGCCCCTGCAGCTGCCGCAGCCTTATGTGCACGGACAGCCCTGCCCGTGAGAGAGAAGTCACCGTCTGGCTGCAGCGGTGCCATAAATCCGCGTGCGGTTTCCGAAGCGCGCTCGTCCGCGCTGGCCCAGCTCACCTCGCGGCAGCTGGGTGACGCTGGGGAACCCAGCGCTTCCCTTCGCAGGGTTAACAAATCCCAACGATTTTGTCTGCCTCAGTTTCCAGTGCCAGGTGTGTGTGTGTGCACATGTAAGTCACTCACACAAGGTGTGCAATCGCTGCAACTTTTTCGGCCTGGATGTTCAAAGTTGGGCAGCTAAATAGGAACATTCCCAGCTGGACAGATTTGTCCTTAAAGATGTCAGCTGGGTGCACATGGAGCCAAACTTAAATCCCTTCATGGCTGGAGAGCAGCTTCTTGGCTCTGCAACTGTATCTCCAGGGCTTCTGGAGGGAAGCCTTCTATGTCTTCCATTTCTCCTGAAAGAACCCACACTCCTTCTTACAATTCCTGTCCCTTTCTCTGCAGCGCTTCCAAGAAAGGGATTACTGTATTTAATGCAGCTTTTGGCACCAACACGTAACGATGTGCCAGAGAGCAGACTGCAGCCATTACTCACCCAAGCTGCCCCCTCACTGACCGAGTTGGGCACCAGCTGCGTAGACCTGTCACTCACAGGTTGTGGTTGAAGGATTGGTTTGTTGGTAGCAGAAGCTACCGATTCTCTGCCCAGAGGCAGCAAAAAGTCTCAGTGCTCAGTGAGGACAGCCCGGGAGGCTCTGCGTTCTGGTCTTCAGTGTGAACATAACAAGGGAGCTCCATCCTGGAGAGGGTCCCTGCATGGGTCTCATCTGCCTTTGCTCTGGCGGCTCTTTCAGATCTGGGACATCCGGAACTTGGAGTGTGTCCACGTGCTGCAGACGTCAGGAGGCAGCGTCTACTCCATCGCCGTGACAAACCACCACATCGTGTGTGGCACCTATGAGAACCTCATCCATGTAAGTGCTGCGGGGCTTGGTGCATTCGTTGGCCTTGGGGAGAGCAGAGGATGGGGAGGCCGGGCCCTACCAGGCCCCTTCATGGTGCCCGCGGAGCGGGGGGTGCAGCCCCTGCTGCACGTGTGGGTCACGGTGGAGAGCACCCTGCCCTTGCTGTGCACACTCAGGTCTGGGATATAGAGACCAAGGAGCAAGTCCGCACGCTGACCGGGCACGTGGGCACCGTCTACGCCCTCGCTGTCATCTCCACACCAGATCAAACCAAAGTCTTCAGTGCATCGTATGACCGGTCTCTCAGGGTACGTCTTTGGGGTGCACCCAGCCGGATCTCTGCCCTTGGCCTTGTGAGGAGGGTGGGTGGCCCAGAGGGGAACCCTCACCCCTGCTGCCACCTGCCCTTGCCTTCAGTTAGTGTCACCGGGGTCCAACCCGGTGCCACTCAGCATCCCCTCCGTGCCTGGAGGTGGGCTCTGTGCCAATGTCCGGTGCTGCCCTTGACGCCTCCCGTGTGCGCAGGTGTGGAGCATGGACAACATGATCTGCACGCAGACCCTGCTGCGCCACCAGGGCAGCGTCACGGCCCTCGCCGTCTCCAGGGGCCGCCTCTTCTCCGGCGCCGTGGACAGCACTGTAAAGGTTGGTGTTCCCAGGCTTCTCCTTGATGGCTCGGTTTCTTCCAATAGTGGAACTAAGGCATGAAAGGAGTTAGGGTTGAACAAACGTGGCAGAAGGTTTAGCTGCTGACAGGGTGTTTTGGATGCTGAAAGCCCCCAGCAGCCCTGCAGAGCCGACGAGGAGAAGCCCCGGGGCTGCTCTGCACGTCGCTGCCACAGGCTCCTCTCGTCTCTCCCGCCGGGCTGG